AAAAGAAACACATTTGAAACAGTGTAAGCACACAGACACATGCACAAACGCACCTGTAGACATTGCTGGAAGTGCATGGATTTTGCTGACGTATACAGGAAGTCTATATGGACATCTATCTTTAAAAAAACACAAATTCAAAGTTCAGATGTGTCTACTAGACTGTGCGTTTAACTGATGTTTATTTTGTGGTTATTTCAGCAATCCAAATGCTTCTCTACCCGGGGCCTCCTTCGTCCTCAAGTGATTCCAGCGACTCAGAACAAGTCACTGGCCGTGTAGAAGAGAATGTCTGTGGCGCAGGGAACAGCGAAGAACAGTCGGTAGAGAAAACTCTGAAGAATGAGAAAGCAAAGGAGCTCGAATTGATTGAGAATGTCGGGCGAAGCCAGCTGCGATTGTTGAAGGAAGCAGAAGGCCTACTCTCGGTAGAAACTATCGCAGAAAGGACAGGAAAATTATTAGACGACCTTTATCAGAAAAGTTTGCGCGTCCTTGAGGTTAAGATGGGCTGCGTCATTGTTTATCTAGCCCCAAGCAATCTGTCAACCTTAGAAAAGGTTTTAGGTAGAGACTATAAGTCAGGACGGCTCAGTCGTCAGTTCACTGACCGTCTTGTCGCTGACGAGATGCGCGCTGCTGCTGGCCAAAACTTGGCAATGCGTGTTGTCATGCTGGAGAGACAGTACCGTCAGTGGACAGAATATTTCAACACACGAGGTGGGGTTTCTTGAAAGCTTTTTGTTCTTAATATAAATACTTAAATTATCGCCTGCGTTAGAAAACATTCTAACATATGCATGTAAACCAAAATCTATATACAGGCACTGTATAGGTGCAACCCATGTATGTTAATACATGGGCACAGTATTACAAATGTCTGCCTCAATGTGTTATTTTATACAATGGCCGTCAAATTTTTGTAACATTCAACAAGGTCGTGTTAACTATAGAATAGCAAAGACATTAGATATATCGAAAATATCCCTATGTTATCATATTCTCAGACATGGTGCAGACGGGCCAGCAGCTTCCGAGTTCAACGATGACATCTGCAACTCGCCATGAGCAGCCCTCTGTGAGCCCTACCATCTCGGTAAGCATGGCAGAAACGTGCCTATCTTGCGACACCGAGTAGTATTGCTGCATTACTGTTGCAATACTGTTGCATTACTGTTGCATTACTGTTGCATAACTGTTACTCTGCTATGCATTACTGTTGCAATGTGTTTCAGCAGTGCTGTTGCATTACTTTTGCAATGATGTGGCATTACTATAATTGCAATGCTAGTACATTAATGATGCAATGATGTTGCATTACTGTTGCAATTGGTGTTGCATTACTTTTGGTCAGTAATGTGGCATTACCTTTGCAATCGATGTTGCATTACTGTTGCTAATGATGCTGCATTACTGTTGCAATGATGTTGCATTACTGTTGCAATGATGTTGCATTACTGTTGCAATGATGTTGTATTATTGTTGTCAATGATGTTGCATTACTGTTGCAATGATGTTGTATTATTGTTGCAATGATGTTGCATTACTGTTGCAATGATGTTGCATTACTGTTGCAATGATGTTGCATTTCTGTTGCAATGATGTTGCATTTCTGTTGCAATGATGTTGCATTACTGTTGCAATGATGTTGTATTATTGTTGCAATGATGTTGCATTACTGTTGCAATGATGTTGTATTATTGTTGCAATGATGTTGCATTTCTGTTGCAATGATGTTGCATTACTGTTGCAATGATGTTGCATTTCTGTTGCAATGCTTCTGCTCCATGAAGAAATCCTGCATCCGAACATTATATATATATGTGTGTGTCGTTTCTCCACAGAAAAGTACAAAGACCAAGTGGTCATATAATGAACCTCGGGTCGTGTACATTAAAAGGCACACGGACTTGTCCGATAAACAGGCAAAGGGAAAGAGAGTTGGGGCTATAAGGGAACAAGTCGAGAGGAAACACAGAAAGGTAGAAGAAGTTGAGAAACGAAGACAGTTACTAGAACAAGAGGAGCAGGAGAAACAAAAACACAAAGAGCACCTCAAAAATTCGCAACAGCAAGCACTCAGTGAGAGGGAAAAGCTGTTGAAATACCGTTTTGGTGACAAGCACGGTTCACGTTTCTTCGCGTGTACTGACGTAAGTGACATTCAGCAAAGTGACCACAGCTTACGGATTGGTGTCTTTGGGCCACCCGGGTCCGGTAAAGGCAGCTTCATCAACACCTGTGAGCGGGCTTTAAGGCTTACGACAGAGGGTAGGTTTCCTTACTTCAGCACTGAATATGGAAACCAGTCTCTAAGCACGTTGAAAAGTGTTCTTTTAGTCAACTAATCAACTAATAAAAAAGGAACCCTGATGCATACTTTAAGCCATGCTTATATATCGACTTTTATATGCAGTGCAGGCCTTTAAATTTGCAGCATGCTTTTCAGTTTCTTTATTGCACTAATTCAAATGTACATCAGTAGGGGGAGAATAACTACTACTCCCTGAATTGAGTACCATTTGTCACATAAAAAATTAAGAGAGAATACATGGACATCTAAATAAGGTATATACAAAGACATATACAAAGTATTTAAAATATACACAACGTCCATACTGATTGCATCCAGTGGAAACGAGGAAAACAAACTGCTATGTTCTAGATCAGAGACTACTTGAGAAAAGCCATGTTCTGTACTTAACATTTTAGTTTTTTGTGGTGGTTAACGTTGCAGCCTGGTAACGTGACTTTTACAAGGATTCTTAAAATGATATGTTTAGTACTATTTGCTAAAATGGCTTGTGGGTTGTCAAATTAAATGTCATTAACCCTGCCTTTAATAATGATATGGCCCTGATAATACAATAACGTTTGCTTGCATGGTTGAGTTTAATGAAGCTATGAACCATGACCCTTACATGTATATACAAGACACAAGCATTTTACTCATTTCATTCACATTCAGGAACTCGTAGGACCGAAGCCAGCCAAACGGAAGGCACAATTCTCGTCCAAGAGTACCTTGGCGACATTGGTGGCAAGTTCTGCTTGGTCGACACTCGCGACTTCTCCAACTTCAATGAGAAAGAGTTGATGGCCATGACTAACATCGTGTATGGGCGGACCCGGCCAGGAGAGGAGATGGACCTGAGAAGTGCGACTGAGGTGGATCGTGACGACAGTCGGGACACCTTCCTCCACTGGCTCCATGCTGTAGTCTTTGTACTGTCTGCACAAGATCCACTGCTTCTCAACGGGACACACGCTACCAACCTGAAACATATTCGTGACTTTATGAGACCCAGAGGTACGACATTAATGATCTAATATAAAAATGCAATTGATTCCACATATACTTTGAAACTATTGGACACCTTCTGTGTTTTGTAGCGTTTGTGTGTGCATGTATGTTTGCGCGCGCGCGCGCGCGCGTGTGTGTGTGTGTGCGTACATGTGGTTTGCTACGATATATCAAGAAGATATGTACGGATCGTCATAAAGGTTTTAGTATAAACATGAATGCTGTATGAATTTACTTGGATTCCGGTCTTTATGTCTCGTGATCTGGACATACTATGGTCCGATTTTTTTTTTTAGTTCTGGTGCTCGTGAAAATGTTGAGTCATCTAGCAGCTTGTTCTGGAACTGCTGAGGCGTTTGTTTGGAAAGTCTGATCACCATATTATGTATCTATAATTCCATTTTTCAAGGCATTGCCCCAGTGACTGTTGTGACGCACGCTGACCAGGTGAGGGACAAGAGTCAGCTGGACCAGATCAAGACGAAAGCCTCCGCTGCAACAGGAAGCCAGCCAAGCCACGTCTACTTCATTGAGAACTACACACACCACCCTGAGCGGGACTTCAACACTGAGCTCCGCGCGATGGAAATACTCAACGCCGCGCTCGTGGTGGGGGAGAGATACGTGAAGATTCACAAGCAGCAGCAGCAATACGCTACAGAGGCAAGACAAACAGCTGCGGGTAAGTAACAATTACTCGTAAACCTCTCCCAAAGACATAGAAATTTTCAATATACTTATGTCCCGACTGCATATCTATGTATTTAGGCCAATATATATGCAGTGCATTCCAAAAAAGAGAAAGTATTGTAACAGATAGCAACGCCTAACGCACATCATGTCATAAGCCATTTTTCATTCATACTCCTGTAGTAAAGTAGTCTCTTAGAATAGACTTGATTGTATTGATCACATTGTTATTGATGCCATACATTGTACCATGTACAACTGTCGAGCAATAAAGTTCATTCATTCGTGTATTCATTCATTTATTCATTTATTCATTCATTCATTTATTCATTCATTCATTCATTCATTCATTCATTCATTCATTCATTCATTCATTCATTCATTCATTCATTCATTCATTCATTCATTCATTATTGTCAGAACTTTTTAGAAGTATGCGTGCAAACAATGGAAATGCATCTGCGCCAAAACTATATTGCCCAATTTGGATCTGCAGACTCCCATTTTATTAACGCCAGTCCAAGAGTATTCAGTGATTGAAATTGTTAATGTATTTCATGCATTCCGATCTCTGCCATTCTTAAGAAAGACAAATAAAATTGCTACGAATGATGTTAATGTATTTCACTTTCATTTACCAGCTAAGGATTTTGCAACAGAGACTATCGAAGACTTCTTCCGTCGGCTTTGCGACTACAGACACATCCCGGTAGGTCTTGCCTTTAAAAAAAGAGGAAAGTTAATATGTAGAAACTAAGGATTTTTTTTAAATAAAGCTAGCCCACGCTTAGATGACCGTTGTCTCTTAACTTAGTCAGGACTTTGTTTTACTTCGCACTACAGCTAGGTGTCGCTGTTTTGAGGAATGTGGTCCAAAACTTGACTGAGTGATATCCCCTTCCCATCATGATTCATGGCTGGAGTCGATTTTCTTATCCAAACACCCTCCTCATCAATCTAAGGAGTGCAGCAGCGACACCTAGCTGAAGTGCGAAATATAACCAGTCAATGAGTTTCAGTCTGAGGTTGAACCAGTTATTTTTGCCTTGAAAAATGTGACAGACGCGTGTAGGGCATAACTTGTATATAGAGTGTCAGTTGAATACATTTGATGGATAGATGACGCTTTTTGCTACACCGAGCCAAGTACAGATCACAAATTGTTTAACAGATATAGTTCAACAGAGTCGAAATAAAACTATCATTAAAATTTAATGATAAATCAATTCAACATCTCCTCGCTTTTCTGTTATAGTAGAGACATAAGAATAGTTTTAGAATGTTTTTCGACGGATTTTTTGTCTTGTTCCATTAGAAATATGATTTTTTTCTACAGTGCTTACACGTTTATAAAACATATGTTATGTAGTCTGTTTCTCTTTTTTGTTGTACAATTTGAATTTTAGTTTAAAATGGCATTCATAATAATTGTAATATCCGTGTGTTGTACAGTATGACAAGGTGACGCCGGTCATCGCTCGTCTACAGGAAGAAGACGTTACAACAGCTGGTTTGCTTCGAGACACCTGGGACGACTTGGAAGCTGAGTTGCCGATAAGTTCGCGAATGAAAACATACATCAAAGAAGCCTTGTTTACAACGTAATCTCTGTAGTTTTTATCTTTAAGTAATATCAGTAATGTCAGCTCCAACATATGATGCTGCAGATTGCAGGTATACTATTACACTCATTTTAAGTTTTTATTTATTTTTTTTATTTCATTTTCACACACCTGGGTAGCCCAACTCAGCTTTGACAAGTTGTTTTTAGTGGGGCCCAGTTTACAGAAATAATAAAACATAAGTTAATACTTAAACAGAAGTAACAGAGAATTGTATGTAAAACAAAAATAACGCAGGTAACCAAATTCTACAAAATAAATACATGAGATTACTTAGAGACAAACAACCGTAGAGAACAAATCAAAATCGTTGTTCCACTCAAAAGTCTATTCTAACGTTTATTCTAAAGCCCCTGTCACATTCACGAACTTGACCCCTTGTCAAACTACGTACCCAAACCGTGGTTAGGTGTAGGTCGGGAGTAAAGCTGGCTATATTGTTCAGGTTGCGCAAACCAAATGTTTAAAATGACTCCACTTATACAGACCGTACAAGTGGTTGAGTTTGATACTTGGCTTCTAGAATTCTGTATTACCCGCGGACATGACAGTAGCTTTGCTACAAGTTATATGTCCACAACAATGAAAGGGTGTATGTACTGTCCTGGAAACGGTTTATATCTTTAGAAGAGTGTTCTTCTTCTTTTTTTTTAAATCTGTTCTGAAGCACGAAAGGGGAGGACTTTTTTTTCGATTTATTGTCAATGGCCGCAGGTGACCCCTAAATGGAACGCGGGTTCGTTTCGAATTACATGGATCGAACACATTTCGGGTTATAGGAAAGGTGGGAACTTTGCAGCCCTGATTTAATCACCGCCAGACTGATTGCTTTTGTGGACGGCATTGTGCTTTATACTAAGCAAAAACATCGATAGGCACATGTACAAGTAATTCCACTTAGCCATGACAGGTGAAACGCCATTACTCTGTATATATGTCGGTTTGATGTATTGAATTCAATTTCATCGGATAAGAATGTAGATGACGTACGGAGCATGCCTTTTCACATTCTTGTGGTAACCAATAGTAATAAAAAGTCCACAGGCCATACCAATAACGACTTTTGTCCGCTGAGAAATGCGCCAGATAAACGTCACAACGAATTCCAGTCACTCAATTGCAACTCTGTATATTAGTCTGTGTTGTTGTCCTTGGTAACCACTCAAATTAACATCAAGGAAATGTCGTTTGAAACGGTGTAGGGCCAGATTGACTTGATTTTGTGAGTTAGATTTTTTCTTCACATTGTAGCTAAAACATCGACAGCTGCATGTAAGGCCATGTTGATTTGATTATATGGATGACATCCTCCGGGGACCCCAAAACTGATGCGAGCGTGCGAATAAAAAAAAGTTTTGCCAAAAAAAAAAGTTCTTTTCATTATGAAATCTACGAGGTCATGAGGGTTGAGCAAATGGCACAGAATATGGTTTCGCAAATAATCTAGTCTTCAAGTTCATTTCTTTACAATTTCGTCTTTTGTCGTTTGATTTTAGCATTATACGACATTGGTATAGTTTTTATTAATTGTTTTCTTAACTTATGGTATATTTTTGCTCATTTTGCAACTGTTTTGTACGATTTGCAGTATGGTTGAAAACTTTTTTTTTGGAAACGGCCGAAAACTCATCATGCGCGCGTGGATGTCATCCATATAATCAAATCAACATGGCCTAAGTAAGTCCTACTTAGCTGTGAAACGTGAAACTTTAGCACTCAGTAATCTGTGGCGGTTGGGGGATTACATGAATTTAATGTCAGCTGGCAAAAATCTGACTGACGCACGAAAAAATACCTTTTACCATTACCTTCTGTTAACCAATATGAATAAAAATTCCAAATCTAAATGAGTTTCTGCCGCCGAGGATTGTACCTTTGGTGCAAATATTGTTCCTACCTGCATAACGTCTCTATGAATTCCTGTCACTCAATTAATACCTGTAAAATAATCATTCTGTCTTGTTCTTGGTAAAAGAAATCAATCATACCTGAACTGTGGTTTAAATTTTTCTAGCACACGATTTTTTCGGGGTTGCTGTTACAGATCGGATGGCACCCAGGCTACACTTGACACTTCTCTTGGCAATTGATAATACGCAGTCATTTGCTTCACTTTGGCAATGTTATGACAGTTTGTATATGTTGTTGCTGCCTGGCTATCACATGTCATGCCTGGTTGTATTTTCAATGGAATAAAGTAAAGAAAAAAAAGGTAGGAAACGACTCTTCGTTTCAAAATGGTATAAGGCTTGATTTTATAGTAAAACTAAAGCATCGGCGGATACATGTACAAAGAACTGTCCTTCTTAGATGCGACAGGTGATCTTTAAATGCTCAGTTATGCCTTGTGTTGGGTAGGGATTAAATGGAATTATTATTTTCTGATGAAAATGTAAATGGCGCACGGAACACGGGTTTTGCGAATGGTCATGTGTTTGAATTTTGTTAATAAAAAATCCACACGCCATTGCAATAACCGTGTTTTGCCTACAAGGAATGCGCCTTTCAGACAGAGTGTACGTTATGACGTAGGAAAACGTCACCACGAATTCCTGTCACTTAATTGCATATCTGCTTGTATGATATCCTGAGTTGTTATCCTTGGTAATCAAAAGAAATCCCATAAGTGACTTGTGGCTTGGAATGTTTTTTCTGCCACATGCAAATTGGATTGACAGCGCTCTGGGTAGTGCGCAGTCTTTTGCTTTATTCTGGCGGTCGACTCCACCGCAGACGCCCGCTGCTCACAGGATTCTCCGTCCGGCTGACTTCTGTCCACATCCAAGTCAGCCATGTTTAACAACAGCTCTCTGGCATCGCCCGTTACCGGCAGGACATCGGCAAGAGAATTCAACAGGCAGATTCCCTGTATCCTGTGGCACCTGCAAAACAAGTCATCCTACAACCAAGCCGAACAAGCCTGCTCCGCGTACACGGACTTTGTTGAGTTTGGAACAGGACTTACCGTCGCCTTTTGGCTGACAGGACTTCATATTATCATTTCTAACGCTGCCGTACTTTGGGGAATCATTAGAACACCAGAGCTCCGCAAACAGATCTACATGTTCATGGCAAACCTTGCCGTGGCAGACATGTTAGCAGGTACAGGACTCCTCGTACGATGTCAAGCTGTAGCCCAAGTGGTAGGATTGAGCAGATTGTATTTCATACTGAATATTGCTACTTTCATAGTATATAGTCAGATGATGTCTGCATCAGCACTATGCCTATTGTCGTTAAGCACCTATGTTGCAATAAGACATCCTATATTCTTCCACACCCATGCTCACAGTGCCAGACGTGACGCAGGTGTGGCGATTGTTACTTCGTGGCTTATTCTGACCCTGTTTGGTTTTACGCCTAGTATGGGATGGAACTGTCTAGACATGCCAGATTTAAAGTGTTTGGACATTTTTCCTTTAGCGGCCGTTGCTCTTGAATTCATTACAATCTTGTTGCTAATCTGTGTTATGCTGTTCACGAATATAAGTGTGTATATAGCCATCAAAGAACGGCAAAAGAGAAGACTTGGGCAGGCAGGGGGGCACAACGATCACAACGCATTGCAAGATCAGCCTAACGATGCAGCAGAAAGAAAATACCAAAGGAGCGTGCACAAGGCCAGGACTGTTATGATTCAGGTAGTAGCGGCCTTTATCTTCTGGCTTTTGCCCATGATACTCATCCCAGCCTGCATTAAGGCTGGGGAGAAGTGCCCATTCTCGACCGGGGACACTTTCGGAGTATCCTTGTTGGGGCCATTGCTGATGGCGTTTAACTCGGCGATCAATCCAGTCGCAAGCATCATCCGCACACCGGACTTACGACAGAGCCTCCGTCGAGACATTACAACGATCTACCAGGCACTAACCACCATGATACGGGCAAACCGCGTGAACCCACAGGATGAACAGATTCCCCTAAATCAGCGGAGCGGTACCGGGGCGGGCTTTGGGAGCGAACAGAACATGCCAACAGGGCAGCCCGCTACAGGACTTAACGTGACTCCGTTCAACCGGGGTAGAGCTGGCAGTCTTGCCATCATAGAGATTGACTGATATAAAATTCTATAGGAATTCCATCCTTTGAATGATGAAATGTTTCATTCATGTGGACAACAATGACAAACACATGGTCATTTCTATGATCTAATAACCATTGAGGTAAAATGGAGTTGTTCCGGATTTTGATTCAACAGAATGTAAATATATTTTGACTATACTTTCAGTTTAACACAATGTCAGTAGATTAAATTGTACATACACATATGGTTTCAGGTTTAGTGTTTGTGCTCATATTTTTTAAGGAATAAAGACGATTAAATCATGTTGAATTGTCTCAAGAGTACTGTCCTTGATGTATGTCTGCCATTACCATAACGTAGGTCAAAGTTAACCCGTTTTTGGTGCCCAACTTTGTTTGAGTAGGTTTAGTATGAGTTGATTTTCTGTAGATCTTTATGTCCAACGAACCATAATATCACCTTAATGGGTAAGATTATAATAAAATCATACTGAAAATAAGAAAAAGACGCAGTAAAATTTGTTATCTAAATGACGTAATTCTATGCTTTTTCTATTCTCGGAATTCTATTTCATATTTAATTTCTTTAAATATAGAAGTTATCTTGTTTATATGCAACCTTAGATGTGTATTCGGAGCCCCAAATATGCTTTTTTTTCGTTTGCCCGCCCTACGGCGGGCAAACGAAATTGTGTTCGCTTTCCTACATGCTCCTAGGTAGGTAGGTAGGTAGGTACGTACGTTCGTTGGTCCTAATTACGTCATCTTTCTGTTGTCCGAGTCGGGTCATTGTGTCTGCGCTGTCTGCGCTTGGGGTCCCGTATGTACATGAAGCGCTAAAAATTGGGCTACTATAAGATAAAATGTCACCACAGCTCTATGTTTGACAAAATTAAACATTTCAATAATTTCACGTTAATTGTTCTTCCTCAGGAATGTCAACTCGTTTTATAAATACTCCTTTTAAAGCCTGGCTTTCATGGTTACTCTAATGGTTCAATTGGTAAGGAGGCTGTAGTGGCAATGTCGGTGTCTACATGCAGTGAGTTCGATCCCCGCTGCGGAACTTTTTTTTTTAATTTTCTTTTTAACAGACGCTGTTTTGCTTTTAACACTCAAAAACTTATTATTCAAGTCTCGACATCTGTCTTTTTTTTCTTTTTAACATCCGCTGTTTTGCTTTTTAACATTCAAAAACTAGTTGTTAACGTTACTACTTATTATTTTAACATAAAAAAACTAGTTGTTATTACTGTTCTTTCCATTATATGGGCAAGTGTTGCCTGATATTGCATTCTTGGGGATTAACATTCTCGCCATGGGTAATATATTACATGTAGTATGGCCATTGACAAGCTGTCAATATAAAAAAACATGCACAATTGAAATCAATTGCTCCTGACATCACATAAGAAATCTTTGTATTTCAGATTTGATAATTAAGAATCTAATTTCCTCACTTAAAAATGACGTGAACTAGCTCCTAATGAGCATCAATTCTGGTTATCTTTTCCTAAACTATCTACATGCCAATAGTGACAATCCCAATGTACATGTGTATGTAGTATAGCATAGCTAGATTTCAATCAAAGACTTTATCATCACTTCATAAAAAAACATATTTTTTGCAAAAGACAAGAATAAAGAAAATTGTTGTACAACCCAAATGTGTGAGTCTACTTCCAATACGTCTTGCTAAAGTATGATACACTAGAATTACCTTTTCACTGTATCACTGCGATGTACATTTTCAATTGCTTATAATACTTAGAAATTTAGCGTCAGCAACTCACAAACCAAGGAAAACACACATTACTCCTTTGTGTATATATCATACTAATCAGCCAAAATCACAGTTGCTTGCAGTAACGCCCTTCCTCGCTATGGAACATTATATTAATCTTTACAGTGTCCAGCACAAGTTGCTCTCCTCAAAAAACAGAAGAGTCGTACACAAAACAAACTTTCCTACAGACTACACCGGCAAACGACAGCTTTTTCAAAAGCACTTGTTTTTGTAATCGTCTTTTGCATGCAGTTTAATATGCGAAGCATTTTACAAAAAAATTGCATTTTAAACCTAAAATAATGGACAGACGACATGAAAAGCAAGTGCAATGCATTACTATGTTTATTTATTATTGGCCATTGTAAAAGTTGCAATTCTAATACAAAGGAAAGGTCAATGTCAAAATACTTACATCTAAATGTTCGAAAGATATCCTTGAATATTTCCTAAAGATGTTACCATGAAACATACACACCAAAGGAATTTCTTGATTGACTTCTGAACAGATTTAAAAATTATTCCAACATTTGTATTCGATGTATAGATTTGAATAGAGATTGTTTCATTCGCTGGTCGAGTATGACGAAGTTTTTTTTTAAGATGATGTAACGTTTATTCCGACACGAAGTCACGAGTGCTTTTTTTAATTATAAAAGTTCTTAATGTATATATGCTTGTCATAATAGAGTATTTTAGTCAACAGTTTAAAATTATTCAGAAAATAGAAAATTTCAAAATTCTCTGACATGCTCTCGCATTCTGCTCTTGGGAAATGCGAATTTTCTAGTTTTACTCAAGGAAAAAATGCGAAGAAATAAAGTTTACTCTAGATTTTGGACCCTTTCACCTCAAATGCTGTTTGCAAAAGCTGATTTATTTAGAGGGTAGTGGTATACGTAGCCATTAGCCATGTTAGCCTTCCTGTTATCACTAGATATGATTGTTCTTTGGCTTGTACGATGAGTTATAGCACAATAGGCTTGTTCGTGCAGTATTTGTTATGACATATTCTTGTATTGTGCCGAGTTCTTGATGTGCACCTAAAGGGTGAAAACATTTTACCCTTGTCTTACCATAGTATTTATATTCACCAAGAAGGTTATGTTTTAAGAAGCGTTCGTTAGCGTCGGTCTGTCTATCTTTATGCGTTTATGTGTGTGTGTGTGTGTGTGTGTGTGTGTCTGTGTCTGTGTGTGTGTCTGTGTGTGTGTGCCTGTGTGTGTCTGTGTGTGTGTGTGTGTGTGTGTGTGTGTGTGGATGGCGACTTAGTATGCTACTTCCAGATTTTGATATTTCTGGAAGTGACAGGGACACAAATTATAAATGGTCGCTAGGTTTTGTGATTGGAAATAGGTGACGTAAGTTTGACCTTCCTAGCCAAGCTGCTTGTTTTGGAACTGTAGGTGTGTTTTGTTATTAACATATTGTATTTGAAGGAGGATAACTCTAGAAATCGTCGAAAGATCGTTGCATTTTTTTTGTATATAGGTAGCTTAAGTGATGCTTTAAATAATTGAGACAACATGTGCATGATTTAAGAGTAAATCATATTAATCTGCTAAAGGACTATGTCTGAACACTTTTGTTAGCTTTGAAGCCCTATGGACCCTATTACCGGTACATTTAAATGAGCTCATTCTGCTGTGTGTAACAGAAAAGCAACTACAATAGAGAACATTATTTGTTAGCATTATAGGCCATGCAGGATTGATGATTTGGTGTGGATAACTAGAAGGTGTAATCAGATTAAATATAAGCAAAGGTCATGGGAATAATCATGGCCTGATTTTAATAGACACAGACTTCAGAGAGTAACGTTCACCCCTCCAGTGGTACCACACCAAGCCTTGCCAGTTTGGACAAGCGCCCCCACAGTTGCCCAGGTACCGGCCGTTGAGGAAGGTGTAGCCGCAGATACTAAACCACCAGCCTGCCCCTCCCCACTTCCGAGAACAGAACCAGCTGCCTTCCGAATCATTGTCCCTGTCCACGGTGGAGAACATCTGGTTGTTGTGGATGTTCATGGAGTTTCCCGCGGTGCCAGAATACCCGGAGATCTCCAGTTGATACTGATCCTCCTCTCCGGACACCCTGGGTAGGAACAGCAAATCAAACCGATGAAGGTTAGATATCCATGTAATAAAATGCACAAGAAAACCGTCAATAAAACATCCAGATAGGTTTTGGAATCTCTCGGACGTTTGAAGTAGAATCCATACTTTTTGTCAGTGACTAACGGCATCTCTCGTTGAACAGGTATCCAGAAACTATAAATTGCTCCTGTAGTTAAACAACAGGAGCTAATTGACTCTCTAGCATTGGTTTGTCTCAGTTAGCTCAGTCCATAGAATTTAGAAAGTATGGAGCAGAGCATTGTTTTTACTCGTGTCTCTTCCTCTCATCCTTCTAATGTTTCGATAAATGGATTCAATTTCTTATTTTGGGGGCCTAATGACCTGAACTTTGGTATAAAGGTAGAGTGGACAAACATTGATTTTCTTTACTACTGGCATTAGGAATTGGTTTATTCGTTTTGTTTTGCCATTTTCTGACATAATCTGTACATTTGGGGTCTTGAGGTCCTGGTATTAAACCCAAATGATCTGACATTTGTGTGAGTGTGCCTTGTGTGAGTGTATCTGAAGATACAGATTATGTAAATGATGACGTAATTTGCATACTTAATAAGAAATTCATATAATTTCATAGTAGCAACTGCTGGGAATTTCATACTTGCCGCATTGGAAGTTAAGTGAAGGTGAACAGCAAGAAACATCATTTTTTCAAATCATTTCATATTTGCAAAACCTATGAGGAAGTGATAGAATAGCCTTTTTTGTTAAGATCAGGCTGTCATTGGGTGGAGAATATGATCAACGGATACAACCCAATGTAAATGGTGCTCTTATTTGCGAAATCAATTAATAAAAGTGTATAATTTGTTCACCGGTCAATGTCATTTGGCCAAGGTATGAGATCGTGGAACTCTTGTATCTAAATTTACCAGTTACCCCTGGGACTCGTCAACGTTGCTAACCCGACACCTTCCTTGTAAGTTTACCCTCGCAAACGACCATTGTGATGTTCTCTGCTATGTCAGCTACCACGTTTCGGAGGCGGCCAATAGGGGAAGGTGGAGATTTAGATATAGACAGTGCAAAGTTCACACAAAGTTTACGGCGTGTCAGGTACAGTTGGGGAGGGGGGAGGGGTAAGTGACACCTGTTCTAATGCTCTGTTATGGTTAACATAGTTTCCACCTAGAATATTTCTACACGCCGTCTTTTCAATAGCTTCTATGTAGATTGACTGAAGGGAGGAGTACATAGTACCTAAATGTGCTGTATTCCGCGAAGCGTGTTTGTCCTTCCCAATCCTGTAAATCAAACCGGACCCTGTAGTTTTTATGAGCAGTCAGGAGGTGGATGTTCTCGTTCCCAAGCCAGTACTCCCCGGTCTTGTTCCCAAACCCTTGTTTGTATCCCTCCCAGGTCCGGTTGAAGTCAACCGACCCGTCTTGTCGCCGCTGGATGACAGTCCAACCTCCATCTGTTGTAAAAGAATCCTTATTACTTTGTAGGATATGAAAGAGTATTGCTGTATTATGGTAATAACGCAGATGGTACATGTATATGGTTTGCACATGCGATCGATTAATTAGCCTTACCCAGGCTGCCAATCAATACAACTTGTGCATTTCTATAATTAATTTACTTTTGCGTCTGTACGTCTATTACGGTTATGGGATCTACTACTACTACTACTACTACTACTACTACTGTACAAAATGTACCTCTAGGACGAGTCGGACATGTCTATTGCTTGACAAAATGTCTTGTGTGGCGTGAGCAAAGGTGAACTCAAACCTTAAACATATGTGTATATTCACGGTACAAAAGTGTATATTATGGATCTCAATGTGCCTTAGAACAATGTGTATTTACCTGCTGTATCCATGTCACAGTAGACCTTTACACCGGACAGGGGTGGGCCAAGTGTGTAGACTCCACTGGTCGTGTGTCCGGCGGCTTTATATGCAGCACAGTCTTCCTCTGGAAAACGGTAAGTAGCAGGGGACAGAGTGATAAACAAATCTAACTAACAATAACCTAATCAGTATCACTGACATGTTAGACAAGAGTAGTACTCTCCTAGCAGAGGTTTGGGTTTTGGGGGTATTTTTAGCGTGTTTTTCAATTGCTGGGAAAAAATTCAGTGCAAAAGAGAAACCCCGATAAAAAAAGCCGAAAAACACGCCAAAATACCCCCAAAACCCAAACCTCTGGTTGGAGAGTAAAGAGTAGAAGATTTGGCATTATTGGTAACACATCATGCGCTGTATGACCGAACTTTTTTTATATAACTGTGGAAACACAAAAAAAGTAGACGTATATAGAAAAGGAACCATAGAGGCCGTACTTATTAGTCACTGGACAAGGTAGTCAAATTTGGGCACAAATATTCCAACCTTATTTCGAACCAAATCATGTTCGATATGACGTCATTCAAACCGAACGTTCGTTCGATCTGGGGTCACCCGCTACGTCAAGCCCCCTTTTACATGCGTTCCGCCTAACAGTAAAAGAATTCACATGTTCACAAATATAAACTGATTTCGGGCCAGCACATCTATGTTGTCATTTTGTAGTGGATATGTAACATGTAACAAAGTCACTGTCGTCAATGTGGGTGACCTTGAAGATCGTAAATCTTTCTTACTTGGATTTGAAACATCCCATCCACTTACTCACGCGGCCTGACATGCTTGCAAACATGGTATTTCAATCGCAACTTAAGCAAATTCAAGTTACCTAGAAATGTTTTAAATTGTAGACAAGACAAAAATCTCGATCTGTGACGGACGGGTTTTTTTAAAGATGGTGGCATTCTGGATTTATTGGTCTTGGAAATGGAAAAAATGCGATTTCTTCGGCTTTAGAAACGCTTAAACTTTGGAATAAAAAACTATCCGACTCAAATCTCAATTTTGTTATAATGTTTTATAAAATAAAAACACTTTGAACTAAAATTCGTTTCGATTAGTATAAGAAAGAAGAAGTGGCCTATATCTGACCTGACTTCTGCCGTGCGTCAGCCGAACTTTACGTGGTGTTCAGAAACAACTTCAGGGGAAGGTCGTGAATTTGTGACATACGCCCAAGATACGCACGTGTAGCCCATTAGAACAGTGAGATACTCGGACCACTTCAACTCACCTGTAGGGAGAACAGTCGTTGCCTGCGGAGTAGTCGGGGCCGCAGGAGTTGTACAGCTACACTGTAACAAAGGCGACAAGTTTTAAATGACGTTAGGAAAATGTCATGCGGCTTTCGGAATGAGCCGGGTGTCAACAGGACAGGTAAAACAAAGTAAGTAAAACTGTTCACAACCTCCGACATCTTAACATGACCTGAAGAGCATTCCGTGGCTCAGTTAAAAGCAGAACGAGGCATGACTGCGGTGCGAAAGATGTCAGTTAACTAGGGTCGAAGATACAAAGCCAGAGATTCTTTCCTTACCAATATCAGCCACCAGGAGGCCAAAATTTGACCTTGACATTTGTATTCCTAAGACATACCAACATATGGACTATCATCATAATTCATAAAGTCGTTATGATATTGTTATGACACATACAAAGCAAAAACAAACCCTTCATTTTTCATGGAGGCAAATATGCTTGATTCTATGCTAACCTGTCCGGGAGGTCCGGCCGGACCCTGCGGACCGGGTGGGCCTTGTTGTCCGTCCACCCCGTTCCTCCCTGGGTCGCCGACGTCTCCGGGTGGACCTGGCGGGCCTTGTTGTCCGTCTGTGCCGTTCCTGCCTGGGTTTCCGGGAGGACCGGCTGGGTCTCCGGGTGGACCGACCGGGCCCTGCAGGCCAGGCAGGCCATGTTGACCGTCTCTACCATCCCTCCCGGCGGGTCCTTGGTCTCCTGTGTCTCCGGTTGGACCGGCCGGGCCTTGCAGACCAGGCGGGCCCTGGGGACCGTCTCTTCCATCCCTCCCGGGGGCTCCGGACAGACATCCAAGGCCTGATAGTTTAATAAATATTTGTTAAGAACTTTAATGATAAATGTAACGATATCGCGATATCATATTATCACATATTTTCAGTCAAAAACCCGACAGGTTTAAACAAAACTCACACACAAACTCACACACACTCATACACACAAACACACACACACACGGAAGCATAAACACAGACAGGCAGGGTTCGCAAAACTTTGTTACCGCCAAGTTTTCCGTGAATGAGTACACTGTTGGCCTCCGAATCCCTCTTGACTCTGCGGTGCTTCTCAGTACTTTTCCAAAAGGTGGCGCTGTCATCACGTCGCCAGTCTTCAGTTGAGCCCACGTCAAGAGCGGGGCCCTAGGGGTTGAGCGGCGAAACGAACTGTTAACATGGCAATTATCTCTCCATTTCAGTGAACATTTACAGTCATAAGGTTTGTCATAGGCCATACTGTACTGATAACAGCACAAATCCACAAAAGCACTATATCGTCTACGTGTCTCCAATTTAGAGCACAACACAATATCTGCTTATTACAACTCTTTATGTACTTCTAGCAGTAGTTCTCATGATCTGCAGCATGGCCTTGAGAATTTGTTGACATTTTAATCTCTTGACACAAAATAAAACAAATTTCAAAAGTGTTATAAAGACTACCATTGGGCATAGAGCAAGGAGCTCAATGCCCAAATATGGACACAGGTGCAACCCTGTTTGCGGATGCGGTTGCTAATTGGCTGTCCCTTAATTACTTTAATGCTAAATGAACACCTATGTATTGTTAATGTACATCGGTAGAAACGTGTCATATACCTTGCTATTTTTCAATCAAATTTTAAAATCTTTTAACCAAATTAGCTGCAGAAACATGTAGTGGTGTGGTTGGTTAGGTCATTGATTTGTTGACATCGTTCCCTATGATTGGGGCCTCTGTAAAAATGTAGCATAATGTCTGGTGTAGTTTTTACGTAGCTGCAATCGTACACGCACAAGGACACACAGGTAACTACGTAATATAATTATTCCAAATAGTTTTAAATTCAATCGTGAACGTTGATGATAAGATGAATACTATATTTGGTGTGGACATGTCCACATGTCAAGCTGCTATAGCTCTGCCATCTGAATACAAGATTTTACAAACTTCGGAAATTCGTTCCACATGAGTGAAAACTAGGCTTGGGCGTTACCTTGTCAGTAACCCGCTAAGTCTCTACCAGGCTTCGGGAGGTGGCCATGTCAAAGAGGTCGTCAAAACGTTAAGAAACTATTTGACAGGTTTTCCAGCTCACCTTAATGCCACCTTTATATGTCGCTTTGAGAGTGACATGTGAACTGTACTAGGTCGTCACAGGATCCAAGCACCAATTGACCCCCGCTAAAAATTACCCTAATTCAAATTAAAAGGTCTCGAACCCAATGCATTCCTCTACAATTCATCACAGTTTTCACCTTGCTGCCCTGCACGAAAAAAATATCTGCATCTTTCTCAAGTACTGCGCCGCACTACTTTGTGTCTGGACTGCGCAGTTCGCCCATAAATACGTTGTTATGCGTCCCCACGTTCACACAAAAATGTGCACCCATTCTTTCATCATGTTGCCAAATAATAGAAACGTTTCGAAGCGTTGCATCATCCCTACGTTCACCTATAAATGTGCACAAATACCATTCTGTTATGTTCATAAGCAATAGAAGCATTTCCAACGCGTTGAATCAACTATCACACTCACTCTCTCTCTCTCCTATAGCTTAGTCAGCCGTCGGGGCAGCATCTATAGTTTTATCTTTTCAACTTTTGCAAATGCCACAAATAAGTTGGAATTAAGATTGTAATGTTTGGTGCAACGTTTGAGTAGGGTGGAACTTTGCTACGAGGCTGACAGAGCCTTGGTTAGAATTTCTCCAAGCAGAGAGTGCTGGGGAAATCGGCAGAACAAACGGTGCACATGTATATGTATATGTACATATATATGTATATGTATATGTATAGAACCATACCCTCAGCACGTCGGCAGAACGTACTGTGCCTGCGCAGAACCCTGTATTTTCACGGTTTTCGGTGGATTTTTGGTCAACGTTGCATCAAAATTTTGCCTGTTGCAGAAGATGTCTTTCACGACATAACATTTGGAAACTACAGACGGAGTGTTAACCTTTTATGCGTGAATACAACCTTATATGAGACGTTCTACCGAAGTGCTATGCACAATACATTACGGGTTTCACGCAGGTGCAGTACAATCTACCGACGTGCTCATACCCTCCAACCTCTGCTTGGAGGGTATGGTTAGACGGGCTCAAACTTGAGGCAAAAACATCCTTACCTTGTCATCAGTCTCTCTTTCTTGCTTGACACGAATCAGGAGCACCTGATCCCGTATATCCCTTATGAAAGCCACTTGCTGTTCCCGGATGGAGGCCATTTCCCGCACCATGAACATCAGGGTGACAAAACTCACCACAGCCGCGAGTCCTGACAGCGCCAGGACGATTCCATTGGTCAACCGGTTTCCATGGCGACCTACAGAACCTTCCGGAGATGCCTCGCCGTTTGGGAACAACTTCTTTGTCGACATCTTCGAGAAACCTTGCGGACAATCCTTAAAGACTATCCCACAAGACCGAGTCTTGATAGACAGACGGTCTAACTGCCACACCTGGATGGCTTGTGTGCCCGCAGGTGAGTTTACGATGTTGTCTGTCGACTTCACCTGCAAAACTCCAGACGGCGAAATTCACTGAAGCAAATAATCTGTCCAATGTAAACAAAACCATTACAGGAAAAAAATGTAGAAAAATAGGCCTCCGAGAGGCTAAGATGTTAGCAATAAGTGTTATCCACATCAGCCATTGCTCAAGGGAGTGTTAAAATGAAACTTGGATGCTGTATAGGAAATTGCAACTTTTCATAACAATTTTTTTAAGTCTTGCCACGGCATAGAGGTATTTTTAGATACGACGAACACGTCGTTTAAGTGTTTTTCTGTAGCTTGTTGAATTTTCCGTCCGGATTTCTGCAGTGTATTTGTGTGCAAAGCCCCAGGTGGCACAGTTTGGTGGCCTTGTCGGTCCTGTTCGCCTGCGACACATTAGACCAAAGTTCAGTGAGGCAAATAATATATTCATACCAACCAGACCGTGGCGATCCCTGCTGCGTGATCCCCAATGTCCATTGCACTGTGTTGACTACCGCGTACTTATAAGGAACTGTGGACTAGTCCAACTCAAAACAAACAGTATGCAGTTCCATTTGTGTAAGAGTCCATATTTACATGCAGTTATTCGCAATTTTGACGGACTGAAAACAAGAGAACGGCAGGGGGCGTGATTGACACGACAAGAATTGGATGGGTACTGGTATACATTACGGATTTACGAATTAAAAATATGAATCGCCTTTACATGTAAATGGTTTTCTGTCAGATATTTATTCAACCTTTAAGATGGTTCAGTAATCGTTTAAACGCAGCGATGTAATCCATATAAGGGAATATTTAAAAGAAAAAAAATCCTGTAGCTTCACCTTTTTTTAATCTAGATAATGAACAAAATTACACACTGTTCTACCCAGTATGGGTCCAAGTGCAAGTCTGGTTAGATTGCCCAATCTTGTTACCAATCTTGTAATATGTAATTTTATACATCTGAAATTGATTTCAGATTTTCCTAACCCTTGTCCTGGGGGGCACAACAATTGTTGTTCTCCACATACAGTACCATCTATATAGCACCCTGTATAGGTACGATTTGGGGTATTTCTCGTGCAACTCATCACCCCGCAGCAAAACGCAACGAACGCGGACGTAACTATGCCACTGCAGAGCAGAAAAAAATGGGGGTCTATGATCTAATTAAGACATGGAATTATTGAAAAATATTATGCCAGGAATGCTAGCAGGACAAGGGTGTCGAATGCTATTGTATCGGAAGATCAGCAAGACTAAACCTTGAAATTAAGAAAAAGATGCATCTTTATATTGGCAGTATAGAACATTTCATGTTTATTAGACTCAAGGAATGTTCTGGAACCTCATCTGCTATTTTTAAAACTTGATGTTAAAAGTTGCACACCGTAAACAACAAACCGTATCGTGATCCTTAAGATTATCCGACCACGATAAGCAGTTTAATGTGATCTGTAACCTTCTATATCAGAAAAAGATTTACATTTCATGATAATGCCAATTGTTTACTTATCAGCGTTGTAAAATTCTAGAACAGTTTGTTCATTCAAGTGATACATGGTATGGTTAAAGTAGACTGTTGTAAAGAAAATAATTTGTTTAACCTTTTCCAATAACGTGAGCTTATTTTCTCCAAAAACAATGTATAAATGTACACCATAAAACAATGCATACTAATGGGCAAATTGTCATGTTTTTTAACGTTACATTGTAAATTATTTTTCTCAAAGCAGACTTTGATATAAAAATTATCAAGGATTTCTATGATTTGTCTCGATGGTTCAAAGCATGTCCCTTTGCTATCTGTTAGTTTCAGTGACTTACAATACCCAGATGTAGGACTTTTTTTGCTGCACAGAAACAAGTGGCAAGTCAAAGAGGACATCACCTGTCTGAGAATTCCGACACCGTAGGTTGCAATCTTTTCGTCTGATGTTTACTACGTCTTTAATTCGAAGAAAAGACTTTGATCCGTTGTTTCTGTTAGAACGGTTAAGGGAAAATATATACTAGCTAAGGTAGCATTTTTTTATCAATGGTTATTAGTACAGGCATTAGCCTGTTTTTTTTTTACATTGATATCCAACGATAATTCTAATATTTACAATTTCTAGGCTAAGCCCTATGACTGTTCTGTAAAATTTTTGTAGTGACGTAAAATGGAAGTTGGAATTTGTTAATATCTAAATAACCTAACAATTTGCCGCCTTAGTACCACGCATGTTTCATATCTATCATTTTCAGCAAAAATTCATGATCTAAGAAAACTGGAGCTGTTCGCGGAAATATATGTTAACGGTGGTCGCAGATTTGGACAAGAGAAAGGCGGCGAAGAATGTTTTGACGGTAATGATGATTATTTCGCGGTACAGAAGGGACCGCAAAAAACTGGGAACATAAATGTATCGCGAAATATTAATTAAATCCGTGAATAGAAATGTTTGTGAGGGTTGAGAAATTACCAGGTCTAGAAATTCTAAACTTCACTTTCTGTCAATTTGGAAACTTTTTAATGTTTGTCTACCACTTGTCATTTTGCGTCGAGGGGGGTTAGTACATGGAAAGTATAGTGCGGGGGCGGGGAAAGAGACATAGAGTAAAACTATACCTCTCGTTTTAGGGAGATAAAACAATATAAACAATCTGTGGGCGAGATTGAAACGTGCATGTAGGCGGACATGCATAAACTCTTTCATTTACAGACTAACAGTGCATTACGCTTTTCTACCAAAGTTCTTGCCTAGGCTCATTCAGTATTTTTAATTGACGCACGTGCCTTTTTATATATAAGCATCTCTTTTCCCTCCAAAACCGTTTGGAAAAAAACAGTACTTTGCAAGTTGCTAAGGTACCTTTAGATAAACAAACAAAGGTGCCGATGAAAAATGTCATACTCTCCCTGAATTTCACACAACCGATACAATATGATTGTATATGTCAGACTTATCTGAAGTTAAAAGGGGACGTCTGTAAAACATATATTTTCAACAACTACAATAATGTAGAATTATGCCATAGGCTTGGCTATTAGTGCACATATCTGATGTCCTTGTTGGAGGGCGTGCAGAGGCGGGCAACCAAGTTCATTATAGGTGCAAATGCCGATGTTTGTGAACTTGACTACAAGGCTAGACTAGCTCACCTCAACCTGTTACCTCTTTCATATAGGAGAGAGATCGCTGACATCATGTTGTATGTTAAGTCCACGGCTAATGTGTACGATTTAGACATGCGTAATTATGTTTCATTTTCATCACGTCCAACAAGAGGTAGTAGGTCTCATATGCTAATGCCAGTTCGCTGCAAAACATCAACATTCGCTACTTCCTACATCCCTCGCTTGGTGGCTGAGTGGAACAGACTGGAAGTCAGAGTCCGGGACATGGGGGCTGTCGCTTCGGGGCAGTCCGAGCTTTTAACATTCAAACGGGGTCTTGTCAAATCGCTGACCAAGAGATTTAATGATCATTTTGTTACTGACAATCTCTGCACGTGGACGTCTGCTTGTCGGTGTGCCACATGTCTGGCAACAAGGCCACGGTAGACATGGGGCACTTCCACGGCCGGATGTACATGTGCAGAGATCTAGCTATTATGAAATTGTGCAATTATATATATTGTTATTATTGTCTACTTACGATGTTGTGCAATATGTTTAATTAGTTTTAACTATGATTGATTGCAATGTCATTTATGTCTTTGGGGAGGGAGCCTGTAAAGGTGGTCTCCACCTGTTTCTCCCTTCCCTTCCACTTGTTGCAAAGGTTGAATAAATAAATAAATAAGTCGCTCCAGGGGTGCTGGAAAGCACGACATCTTCTAGCAGGTCAGTACCTGTATGTCCTCGTTAGAAAGAGTTGTAGTTGTACTGAATATTGATACCTGGGTACAAAAGGGTTATGGATATGATTTATGGACC